GCTGTTTCAGAAAGTGGAATGGGTACACACCCTGGTTTTGGAAACTGAAGAACAAATGCACGATGAGGGAGTAGAGAAAATCAAAGTTGTGAAAGGACTGGTACTTGAAGAGAAATGGAGGGGAAGGAGCCAACAGAGAGAGGAGACTGAAGATTTAATAAAAGAAGGAGGCAAAGTCCGACAAGAGTGTCCACCAATATGATTAAATGCATTAGTAGAGATTAGCCTTGGAAAGAAGAGAAAAATATTTTGCAGAGTTAAATCAAAGGCATGGAGAAAAGTGAGAAGAATTTTAAAGACTTGATATGTGACATTGAGAAAGTTGATGCTGTTTAGTCTCCACTTTTGAGTAAAAAAGGAAATGACTTTATTTGTTTAATAGGAACAGGGTAGGGGGTTCATGGAACAAGAACTTAAGTTCTGGTCTCCTGTCACATCTCGCAGCTTATCACAATGTCCCCAGCAAAATGGAAGAGAAAGTAAAAATGATTATAGCACTATACCTCAGTGTAATGCATTTCATTCCAGCAGGGGTAACCCCAGAGCAAGCTGCTTAAAAATGGAATCTCTTCTATATGCTGAATGAGAGTTTCACAGTAGTCTGGTTCCTCCAGAGTATCAGGCACAACTCTATATTTCAAGTGTGTATATTACTATTTGCCCTCCCTTGGTTGTAAAATCTGCTTTGACATAGTTTATAAAAATAGAAAACAAGCACCTCTATGCTGTGGCTTCATATAAACTAACATAGATTCTCATATTGAATTTGAATACAGCAAAAACTTATATTAGCTTAATGATATAGTCTTATGATATTGGAATAAATGGTCAAAGGAGCTTTGGGGTACATTCATAAAATCCCATTGATCCCATCATTTCCAATGCAATCAGTCTCATTTCATGTGACCATTAGCTGGACTAACGGAAAAGGATCAGTAGATTTCCGCTCCCCGAGTGCAAACTGGTCCAACCGCTATGGAAAGCTGTGTGGAGATTTCTGGACCGACTAAACATAGAACTTCCATATGATCCAGCAATTCCACTCCTAGGTATTTACCCAAAAGACAAAGAAACATCAATTCCAAAGAACACCTGCACCCCTATGTTTACAGCAGCACTGTTTACAATAGCTAAGCTTTGGAAACAACCCAAATGCCCAAAAATAGATGATTGGATCAAGAAGATGTGGTACATATATACCATGGAATATTACTCAGCATTCAAAAAAGATAAACACATGCAATTTGCAGCAACATGGATGGCACTGGAAGGGATCATGCTCAGCGAAATAAGCCAGAAAGAAAAAGAAAAATACCGGATGGTCTCACTCATAACAGGAATCTAGAAAACTTAAATAAGGGACCAGGAAAAAGAATAACTATAAGAAAGTGAAAATCAAAATCAACAAAAAACTATGAACCAGAGACACTTTTAGGGGGGCGGGGGCGGGAGGGGAGGGATTGGGGTCAGAATGGGGGGGCTGCAATTGTATGGGGAATATAACAATAAAATTTATTATTTAAAAAAAAAAAGGATCAGTAGAGAAGTTTCGTTCTCCTAGTTATCCAGATTTAAAATAAGTACAACTATAAATATGCCAATACATACATTAAATGATAAAGATTTCCTAGTATTTGGGCTTAGGGTGTGATATGTGACAGTTATCCTTGAAAAAGCTATTTATTACATAGTAAAATGTGCAGATTTTCATTTTTAGGACTACAAAATATTGCAACCGAAGAATTAAAAGGCATGTAGTTTAATATATAGAGCCATAGAAGCAATGAAATTCAGATTTGGAAGAACATTTAGAAATAAATTTGTTCCCTTTAAGGTTCAGGGATTGGAAAGCCAGAGAGAGGAAATGCTTACCAAAGCACAATTATTAGGAAAGAAGGTCATAAGTCTCTTGAGTCAGAGTCCATGGTGCTTGTCACTTAACAACAGTGACAAATTTCTACCAGACTGTTGGAAAATTATTCCTAGGACCAGAATAGTGAGTATATGGCTCCTTGTAGGCACTTAATGAGTATTTTCTTAACTCAACAACTGTATCTCTGTTTTAGACACTGATCTCCTGGAAGTTAGAGAATCACCCTTGGCCTGTAGTTTTCCAGTGGCTAAGAAGGCAGTATAAGACATGATTACTTGAGGAAAAAAAATACCATTTTGAATTTTCCATGTCACAACATATTTTTTCATAAGGACTTTTCCAGCAAGGAATCAGGTGTTGTTAGACATCAGTGTAGATGATAAAACTAAGGCTCTGTGAATTTACATAAACTTTCCAAAGTCAAATAGTCAGAAAATGGTGATGTTTCAGGCTAACTTTGATCCTCTGACTCCAGATGTTATGCCTCCTTATTGGTTTCTCTAGAATACTTACAAACTCCAAGGAAAAGAAATCCTTGAGTGAAGAGGTAGGGAAAAAGACAAAGGAAAAGATCAGAGTTGACATGGAGCAAAAAGCTGGTGTCAAAAGGAGATCAGCACCCAGATCACAGAGGAAGTATTTTTGTTTCTCTTTGGAAAACCTAGTTGCAGGTTACAAGCAATAAAGACACAGGTTGACTCTTTAGGACTCTTTAGAGCAGAGAGAAATGCTGTATAATTTGAAAGGAGATAATGACTTCTAAGTACAGTTGAAGAGTAGTGGGGTGGGAAAAGCACAGGTGTGGGAATCAGGAGAGCTGATTTTAGTCTCCAGACTGCCATTACCTTATAGTGCCCTTTTGTGCCTCCTCAGTTTTCTCAGTTTAAAATGAGGTTTGTGTTTACCTTCGTGGTTCTTAAATAATTTTCTTTTTTAAAGCATTCCAATTGGTAGAGACTGCCTACAATTTGGAAATGTTCAAAGTGAAATTCTGTAAACTGGAAATGAAACCATATTCTTACTGGTCTATTTGTGTGTGTGTGAGCAAAGTAACTTGTTATACACTCTTGAGCAATCACATGGTTATACTTGTGAAGGTTCATTAGCCTACTAAGCTAAATAATAGAATTATTCTCTTAGAAAGCTTTAAAAATGGTACTTTATCCCTTTGCACCTTGGCAACAGAAAATACAAATGATTTTTAGCATGTGAACCATCAAAAATGGTCACCAGAGATCTGGAATTAGTAGGTTATGCCTGTAATAACTACCAATACACTTAAAAGAAATTGCTAATTAATCTCACCATTTTAGAGAGATTTTTAAGTCAGAGAATTAACTGGAGTTGAAAGTTCTCAGTGTACTGAAAGAGTGATAAAACTCAAAAGTTTTTTTTGTCCAAATTGGAGATATTCTTTTACTGTATAAATAGACCCATTGCTATCATTCAGATAACCAACTATTAGGTTAACTTCACAAGTTATATCATATATATTTTTTTCACTTGTATGTTGTTTTTGGATATTGGTGAATGTACAGCCATTAATTGTAGGGTTATTGTTTCTAACGAGAGTTTAACTTGGCATTGATGGTGTATTAGAGGATATTAGGTGGCTTATGAAAACATTCTAAAATAGCAGGAACATTTTGGGCTTAGTTTGTGGGACATTGCTTTCACTAATTTCACAAATTAAGGCTAAAGGTAACCATATAGGTTAAAGAACCACCCTCTACATATCCTACAATACCATGTCACAATTCTAGCATTTCTTTGGTAAAACTAGAAATCAATTTGAGTTGTAGCATAACATTTCTACAGTTATTTCTAATAAACCATTTACCTGATAGTTAATAACAGATATGATTCCTTTTTCTATTTGGCCCCCTTTTTTTAAGCTATGAATTTCTGTATCCAACCCTTAAAAAATCAAATAAATAAAAACAAAACCCACTATGATATAAACCACTGATGATATAAACTAAAACAACAAATACATGAAGGTGTATCATGCTCATGGATTAGAAAAGTTGGTAATTTTAAAATGTCAGTTCTCCCCAAACTGATAGTCAATACATTCTCAATTAAAATCTTAGCAGAATTTTTGTGGTTAGAAACCAGCAAGTTGATTCTAAAGTTATAGGGAAATCCAAAAGAACTAAAGTATTCATTCACTTAGAAGATACAAAGGTGGAGGACTTTCACTACTTTGACTTGATGACTTACCATATAGCTCTGGTAATTAAAATAGTGTAATACTATTTAAAGATGGACTAATTAGAACAGCAGATATAAGTGAGGCAACCAAAGAAGGAGTATGAAATACAAAGCAGGGAGGGGACCCAAGCGACTATAGTGGAGTATTACAGGTGCTTTGGTAGTAGCTGTGGTGTGGTAACATTCCCCTGAAGAGGTGTGAAACTAAACTCCTAAATCATAGTGTTGTAAACCAACACTTCCTTAATTAAAAAAAAAATGCAATAGAAAGCAAAACCAAAAAAGCAAAACCCCCTTACTTATCCTATCAAGACACCAATACATTATGATGGGAAAAGTCTTTTCAATAAATGATGCTGGGAATCTATAAAGGAATTAAACTTCAACTGCTACTTGACATGAGATACAAATATTAATTTATTATGGATCACATATATATACACATATATAAACTGAACAGAGATTTAAGGGAATAAAAACTCTATGAACCTTCTTAAAGGCATTACGAAGTATTCTACTTATTCAAAATGTTGTTTCCAAATTCCCTTTCATAATTATTATGTAGCTACACTTGATATCTAGGCTACATTGTAGTTCAGTCTGGTGCCTGAGATAATCAGTGATTGGCTAACAAAAATAGAACTTCTACAACAAACTAGATATAAAATCTCTCTGGAAAAGACATATATTCTCATTACTATGTTTATTACTTGAAGTTTGGGGCAAATAATTCACTTACCTTTGATGGACAAAATGGTCTAGATTGAGCTCAAATGGTTCCCAAAGAGATTTTCTGGTCTTTAACATAATTTTATTATACATATGAAACCTCTGTATACTCCCTACTTGAATTTCTTCCTTCTGCCCATTTTCAAAACATCAAAAGTAAAACATGCAGCACAAAACTATTTACCGGAGCCCATAGAGAACTGTTCCGTCAGGATGCAGCCGGATCATTCGATTCTTCACTGTAACCCCATGCACAAATGACTTCTTGTCATTCAGAAAGTAGGTGTCTGGTACCCAGAGTTGGTCAGCTACCCTGTTATCTAGTGTGAGGTTTAGTGGGATTCCGGAATAAGAAAGCCTTTTGTCTTTCCAAGACTGCTGGAAATACATGGTGAGGGTATAATCCTGTGAAATAAAGAAAACCCAAAAAGGAATTTTACTATCATCATCATCATCATCTTCATCATCATCATCATCATCATCATCATCGTCATCTAAAGGCTTCTGTTAAGAACATGATAGGATATAGTATTGTGGATACCAGAGACCTCAGTCCTGCTGTTCCTAAAAGTTTATATTTAAAAATGTTGAAATTTGTACCCAAGTATAGGGCAACTTATAGGTTAGAAGTATTAAAGCAATAAATGAATGCTTACACAGGCATTTCTCAGCTATCTGAAAATAGATTATTCCTATTTGTTATTATCTGGTAAGTTATTTTGGGGAGGGGAATCTGAAGTTCAGGTAATGGTGTCATGGGGGAGGTCATAAAGGGAAATTGTACCAACAGGTTCATGTTCAGAAATTCTACCTCTGGACATTAGAGCACTATTTTGAAGGAGAATGTTTGTAAAATATAATAACTGAAAATGCACGCACTTAAAGGAGAGGGTATTTTCCAAACTGCAACTGCCCTTTGAATGAATACTGCTGTTTGCCTTCTAAAGATCATCAATTACCATTACCTGAATCTTTCTAGCAAATTACAGCTTGTCTCAGTCCCAAAAAGTAGTTTATAAAAGTGCTTTTGGAAGGAGATATCTAGCCTGAGAACTGACATCAGTGGTGGGACTGCTCAACAAATCCTCTTTTACCTCATTCATGATTTGTTTCAGGGATTGATTTGAGTTCAGATTTGCAAGTTATTATTTGATGCTGTTTCTTGCCTCCTGGAAAAGATTATACTAAAAACAAGCCTGTGCAGTTTTCTTTCTACCTGGGTTTCCCCCAGCAGGGAAAGACAAGAAAATTTGGACTCCATAAAAGCATCAGCTTACAGAAGGAGGTGGATAGCGATAGCAGAGCTTTAGTTGTGGTATTTTTTAAAGAACTCTATTAATACAAAGTATAATTGCCCATTAAAAGAAAATAAATGGTAGTAGTAAAATCATAAGATCTTTAAGATGTGGATCCCAAAATAATAACAGAAGGTTCACTTCTCTTTTAAAGGACATTTATATGTCATTAATGGGTTTGAAAATGCTTTAGCAATGGTTAAGAAGATACACCATAACTCCTGTACACAGCACCTGTGTACTCCCAGTGTTGCATATACCACTAGTTGAAAAGCAATGATTCAACTCATACCTTATGACTAGTCAAATTGCACTGCAACATAGAAACTTAAGTAGATATTTATGAATTTCTAAAAAGTATTAAAGCATAATAATAATTCTGGTTGATGAGTTGCACTGTTCTATAATCACTATATTCCAGAACATTTACACTACTTACTGTTGACTCAGAAACCATATTGCAATAATTAATTCAAAGTGATTCTTTCTTGTTTAATGACAAGGGCATTGGCTCTTTACTAACAATCATACAATATCCATGTTAGAAGTCTAAAATCTCCTTCTACTTTATCTTCACCTAACAACAAAAAGACCCCACAGGCTTGCATATAATACTACTCTTCTCTGTAACTACTACTCTCATTTGCATTGTCTTTAAGTTCTTAATATCATACATTTTAAAGGAAAATGAATTGGATGGATTCTGGGTCTTATATTCCAAAACATCTTGATGCTAAGTCCACCCTTTGTAGAATTATGCAACCATAAATAACTAACTTAACTCCTTGCACCTTAGGCACTTCATTTCTAAAATGAAAATTTTAACATTGTACTGGCTTAGCAGCAGCAGCTCAAGAAAATTAACATAAAGATAACTTGGAAAACCTAACATGATAAATATATATTATCTTTAATTTGTTTTTTTATATTTAAAGATTAATATTTACAAATTACTTTAAATGTTCATGTTGATTTTCATAGCATTTCAATTTTAAAGAACTGTTTATGAGAGAACTTGTAGGCAGAAGGAACCTTTGGCCATGAAAATAAGCAGCTGTCTGTGAACAATTGTAAGTCTTGGTGTTGGACTCTTATTTTTAATTCAGCCAGTGTAAGAAAATTAATAGCTAGACAAAGGCATGTTATTGTAAACTTTACCATGGGGATCAGCAATAGCAGCAATGGAATACATGTTTCAGTGCTCACACTAAATACTCATTAGCTTTCAGAATCTCACGAGTGCTACAGAGGATTTCCTTCCAGTGAGATGATGGTGTGAAATCCTTACTCTACAGACTCCCCAATAAAGTTTTAATATGTGATCAGGAGAAACTTTTTATTGTAAAGCACAGAAGATTATAATGGCAAAATAATACTCTATTAAGTGCTATACTTGAAATATGAGTTTGTGGTAAGTCAACAATGGAGAGTAGAAAGGAGAAAACAATGTAAACATGAGTATGTGTGTGTTTGTGTATGTGTGTAGACTCTTCCCTCCCCTTTGTTCCTATAAAGGAACATATATATATATATATATATATATATATATATATATATATATATATATACTGAGATCTTTGTTCAGTAAAACTCATTGTTTTCAGTCAATGTTGACTAGAAATCATATTCTAAATTAAAGTGGTAATATTAGCCTGTTTGTAATAAAAAGTAGTGCTGTGAAATGTACACATGCTAGTATATTACATTTGCAAGTGGGTGATGTGGGACAATAACTTCAGAACTTTTCTTCTCATGCCTTCCTATGGCTATTACCCTATCCTAGGATCTGATTCTATGATACACAGAAATATGAACATATGAAATTGATAACCTTATAAAAATTTTTAATGTAATGACAGTTGTGTTGATAATGATGAATAGTATAGAAAGACCTGCATCACAGCAATAACTCCTTTTTGTACTCAAAGAATTATTTTACCACCTGCACTATAATGGCTTTTCTCCTGGAGAGTGTTCTGTCTGTGGCTTTCATAGTCCTTCCTACTTATCTCACATTTTGTTCTCTGAACCTTATGAAATAGGCAAGTTGTCTCTGAGAGAATTTATGTTTTACATGCCTAAAAATGACTGCATTTTAAATAAATAAATTTAAAATTTAAAATAAATCCTTTCCATCTGCACCTTAATATAAATATTAACAGTGACATCTGAATAAAGGACATGACATTATTTTGGTATATCCTATTTTTAGACAGAAAAGAAAGGCTTAAAATTGCTGTATTTTGTTCTCGCACACAACAGATTTTTGATAAATTCTTCATTAGTCCAAGGTGAAAGTACTTCAAGGAATATGGAAAAATTTTCCATGAAGAAATGAAAGGTATTAATACTTCAACCAAGAACACTGAAATCATTTTTCTTCCAGGTATATTTACAAGTGTTCAACTAGCTTTCTCAAGTGTGCAAGCTACTCCTTGAGAGGAAGAAGGACATATTTAGAAACGATGGGCCCAAGGGGATTCTTTGACACTGAGGCAAATTAGTGGGATTAATGGGTGTGCGATTGCTAATGAAATTGGTCAGGCTAATTCAGGCAAGAGACAATTTGATTCACTGAGGAAAAGCAAGATAGACAACACCAAATCAGTAGTGTTCAATTGAACTCCAGAAGACCATACTTTTAAAATATAAATGTATGAAAGAATTAGAAAATATTTATAATAAATAAAAAACTCTTTTTGAGAGTAAAGATAACAGTCTTTTTAGATCAGAAGTTTTAAATTCAAGATGATTTTTGACCCCCAAAAGATATTTAGGATCATCTGGAGACAGTTTTGATTACAACAGCTGGAAATAATGGTTGTGTATAACTAACATCTGTGGTTAGAGGACACAGATGTACCCCAACAATGCACAACACAGCTCCCTTCCCAAGGGTAAGAAACCCTACCTTAGATGAAAATATCCTTCTTTTTTTGTATCTGTAAAATAACATTTCTACACTAAGGTTTTATTTTAACATATCTCTGAAAGCTTTTTCCTAGGAATGCTGGCATTAGATGATTTATAATATGCTACTTATCATAACAAAACATTGGATAAAAATCCACTAATTATCTAGCACCACAATAAGGGAAAAGAGTTTTGTGTTTCAGTCAAAGGTATTAAGATATGCGTTTTACCAGGGTGAGTGACTTCATATGGGTTGGAACAGTGGGAATCTCTTATTAGTTGCTTTCACAATCAACACAGACTAGTTTGTTAGTGAAGAGACAAAATACAGGTATCTCCTGCTACCTGGAAGTAGAACTCTTCCTGTGAAACCTTTCATAAGCTGAAACCGCATAAAGCAAAAAAGCAAGTAGCATTGACTTGCATATGAAAAGTTTTTAAGGGATCTTAGACCCAAAAACTATCCTACTAAGTCATAGCAAATAATATTAAAATTGAAGATAACATTAATATTTAGTAAAAACAGTAATGATATAAGCAGTCTATAAAGTAGTTCCAGAGATGGAGTGTGGTGGTATCACCCTCCCTGCTTAGGGTCCGCAGTACTTCTCTAATGGCTGCTGCAAAACAAACACTGAATGGTACTTTTCCTTTTTTGCCTTTTATCATAAAAGTGAAAATCCTTTTGGGATTTTTTTTGTAAGTGAAAAGTACTAATATAGATAGATCTTAAAAGTGAAATGAAGGGCTTATATCAGCAGCATATATATTAAATTGGACACAAAAAAGCAAAGTGTTTTAAGATACTTTCAAAAATTGGGGTACACCTGTATTGTTTTACATCTAGAAATACTGCATCAGGATCAGACTTCCTTTTCAAACTTTTCTCAAGAAAGAAAGTTTTGAAAGAACCAAGACTTCCATACATTTGTATTTTATCTTTTATCCATTTGAATGCACATTATAAACAAATCCCTGCTGTGTGTAAAATATTTATGCTAGTTTAGTTGGGCTGGGAGATAGGCTCTTTCTAAAACTAAGATCCCGTTCCCCAAGGACTGTAGTAGAGGTGTGCATCATTGCCTACCCCTTCTACAGTCTGTGTGATGGAAATTCAGGGAAACTGCATACCTTAACATCCCTGGCTGATTGAGCTAGAACACATCCTATATATCATGTGAGCCTGCCTTCCTCCTA